AGGTTACCAGCTGGATCACCAGAGAGATTTTCTTGTTAAAAGGGAGTTTAAGTAGCCTGGCCAGCAGCACACCTTGTGATGAAGCACAAAGAAGCCCGGCTCCTTGTGGCTCACTTAGTCCCTTCAATTGCTCATTCTCCACTACCTAGCTCCAAGGATGTTTCCATAAAGGGCAAGGGGAACATAAACAGCATTTCTTACATTTAAAAAGAGGGCTAAGAGGAAAAAGCTATGTCTATGTTCACCTCATTCAATTTCCTTGAGTAATAGCACTATAATGTTGCTTAAATAGGTAATACATGGATATTTGCACGGTGAGGGCAAACAATGTTGATAAATAGGTCATAGTTAGAAAGACAGGTAGCTTAACATTCAGGTAAGTAACATCATCAAGGTGAGAGATTAAAACATAATCAAAAATCTTTGGAGTACAGAACTCCAGTGGTAAACCTACCACATGACAAATCTAAGAAACCTTGCTTTAAAAAAAGAATCAGAAGGCCAGGCACACGCCTGTAATCCCAGCACTCAGGAGGCTGAGGAAGGAGGATCTCTGTGAGTTTGAGACCAGCCTGCACTACATAGTGAGTTCCAGGTCAGTCTCAACTACATAGTGAGACCGTGTCTCAAAAAACCAAAAAACCAAAAAACGGAAAAAAAAAAAAAAAAAAGCCCCACCCAAAACAACAAAAAAACCCACACAAACAAACAAAAGAATCAGACAGAAATTTGATAAACTTTTCCTCTACAGAACAGCAGCTTTCAAGGGAAATTTCTTGGTATACAGCTCTTAAATATGTTTTATTTCTTTGGTCTTCACTATTTATAAATGCAGCAAAATTAAAACAAGTAAAAAGACAGGGAGTGAGGGACAGTCAAGGAGAAAGACAGATCCAAAATGAAGTTTTCTTCGCTCCGGCTTTCAGTATTTCACTTGTTCTGCTCCTTTCCAAAAACTGAATTGAACCACTGGACGGTGATATGAAGAACCCTCTACGACTTTGGTGGAGAAGTTACTTAATGTTTTGAATCTATTTTCATCATTATTCAATTATTAAAAAGGCCTCATGTGCCTACCTTGCAAGCACAAGGACCTGGGTTCGATCCCTGGTACCAAAAAAAAAAAAAAAAAAGCCACACACATCTTCCAATCTGCTCCTTCCTTCATGTGCATCATTGAGATTCCTATGTTTTTTAGACAGGGTCTTGCTACACAGTTCAGGCCGGCCTACAATTCCCAATCCTCGTGCCTCAGCCTCCCAAGTGCTAACATTTCATGTGTGGGCCACCATGCCTGGCATACTTTCAGTCATAAATTTTTAATCTTTCTCTGAATAGTAAATATAGAAGCCTCAAAACCACAGAAAAATACTAAAAAGAAGGGGAAAAGGGGCCACAGATTTGACTCAGTGGTTCTGCCACCTGCCTCGAAAGTGCAAGGACCAGAGTTCCATCCCTGGTACCGAAAAAAGACATCTAAAACAAGAATTATAAATCCTTAATAAATTTAGTCATTCAAAGCCCTGCAATAGCTCCTTTCATATTCAAAAATACAATCTAAAATCCTATAAGGCCCTATGTAACCTGGCCTCTCCTTAGCTCTCAGACCTCAATTCTTTGCCTCTCACTTTCTAGACTGGCTTCATTTATCTGCCAGTTGCTTGCCAAGCAGGCCAAGCTTATTGCTACCTTGGATCCTTGCAGTTACTCTTCTTTCTAATTAGTACACTCTTCCCCATGATTTCTGCATGGCTTCCTCCTCACTTTAGGTTGCTACTCTAATGTTAACTTCTGAGAGACTTGCTCTGACCACCCTGAAAACACTTGGCCACTTGCCCCATACTCTACCCTAACATGTCATCATTATTCCCACAATGCTGTTTTAAGGTTTCTTTCCCCCCCGACAGTATTTATCTCTCTCTGACATTACATTATGTATCACCCCATGAATGTCTAATCTCCCCTACTAGAATGTAAACTACATGAACAGAAGGGCTTAGTCTGCCTCAATTCTCACTGTATGTCAGCACTTAATATAGGCTGACTAAAAAAGCTACTTACTGTTGTCAGAACACGCATAATAGTGTCTATATGCCACCGTTTCGAAGGTGCATACCTGAAAAAACAATAGCACAGCATAAAAAAAATGGAAACTCATTAACTATACTATATTCAGTGAATTTGTCCTACAGCCTTTTCTAGGTTTCCTGTGTAAGTGATTATATTTGGAGACATTTCACCTTCAAACCTAAAAGCAATTTTTAAAAAATGATGAAATACGCCAAATTCAGATGCTTCCCTTAATATTGCAATGGGAGATGCTGAGCTGAGAAATGAAATTTTGTCCTGGTTTCTCAGAAATCATGAAGTTAGGGCAGGAGAGGATAAAGAATAAATAAAAGGAACTTTCCCCAGATGGAGACAACATCAAGACTGTGAGTTGGTTCCCTTAAATTCAAGTGGAAAGAAGAGAAAGAGTAATAGCCAGACTAAAATTTCGAGGTACTTCCTCCTTCGAATTTTACATAGAAACTTCAATTCAGATGCTATAAATTTTCTACAGCTTTCACGTCAAAAGCATCAGAGATGAGAGGTTAAAGAACAAATATAGGAGACTTGGTTTGGTCTTAGCATACTTAAATGCTGTCTATAATGGCTTTCTCTTAGCTAAATTATAATTGGGAGCTTAAAATAAATGTTATGTTTTAAAGATGTCTGCAGCATTTCCCCCATGTTTTAAAGATGTTTCAAAAAGTTCTAAGCACTTTGTAACCAATAAAAGTAAAAAATTAAATCTTACTTTTCTGCAGCAAGAAAGATTCCAGATGCACAGTCTGCCTTAAATTCTGGCTCACATGAATCCAAAAAATAAAGTAATTCCTTCATCATGCCTCGAATATTATTTCCATTTACCAGGGCAAAACTCAATTCCATTGCACGCCTTTCAGAGGAGAAAAAAATTAAGAAAGAAAAAACCAGCTATTTACAGTGGGAATGAAAGAGACCAAGGTACAATCTCTGAACATCAAGCACTGACACAAGGCTATGCTTCAAATCTTAACACACAAGGGAGATTTATTCTTATGTAATCTCGGTAGGTTCTCATACTGTAAATTTTTACTCAATAGCTTTCTTCAAAAATCGCTAAGTGATATTCTACCAAGGACTGAAAATACAATTCAGGTTCACACACTATTCTATGAAGCTAAAATTTAGAGTATTTAAGTCTCTAGAAAGGAATCATCAAAATTACTACCAATAATAATGCCTCCCTGCACTTTTCATTTTAAAATGTGATATATTCATTCACCACATTCTACTTCTACTATACTCCACACTTCTGTCCAAAGATAACACCATTATCAGTTACATCAAAAGGTATGTAGGAATCGCTTCTCTGCCTTTTGGCTAAGATCAAGTGTAAAAGGTATGTAGGAAATTAGAATCATCTGCCCTGAGGGCCACAGAAAAGAAAAAAAAGGCATGTGCTAGTAGGGTGAGGAAGAGTTTCTACAAATGCCTATCAATTTGGCAACAAAGAGATAAGCATGGTGGCATACAACTTTAATTCCAGTATTCTGGGAGGCTAAGGAAGGAATATTTTAAGTATGAGTCCCACCTTAAAAATTTTAAGACCTTGTCTCAAAAATTTCTTTAAATATTTTTTTAAAGGCCTGGTAATGAAAACCAGTATAAAGGCTATGGGTTCAATCCCCAGAAAGGGAAAGAGGGCACACGCATATACACAAATATTTAACATACAAACAAAAGTACTGCACCAATCTGTTCATATTTGGTCAAAAATTTAAACAGTATACATGCACAAACTTTTGAAAATAACAATTTGGTAAGTATATAACACTTTCATGTTAGCTAACACAAAAAACAAAAATATCTCTTATATAGTGCCTAAACAATTTACATATATTAATTCAATTAATCCTGAATAATCCTATGAAGTACATGATCCTCTACCTGAACTGCACATACAAAGGCTACCAAGACACCAAAAGGTTAAGTAATTTGGCCCCATCTACCAAGGATTTAAAACAAGTCAAGTAAGGATCCAGGATCTGAACACTTAAAATTTTATATCCTGGGCCAAGGATTCAGCTTAGTGGTGCCGCCGTCTGCCTCACAAGCACAAGGGCCTGAGTTCAATCCCTAGTACACCCCGCCAAAAATGTATATCCTATTAAAGAGACATAAATTTTATTTTTGAAATTCAAATCCTAGTAATAAACTATAGAAAAACAACAAAATATATAGGAGTCAGAAGGCTTGATTTCTATTCTCAGGACTGCAAGAGTTAAGGCTTTGGGCAAGTCATTTGATGCCTGGGACTGCATTTTAACTAATCTGTTAACTGGGAATACAAAGTAATTGCCTAGTCTAAGTGACTTGCTCTGAGAATAACTGAAAGTGTGCTTTTAAAATCCTTCACAAAGCACTACAAAAAGTTGGTGTTACTAAATCTAGGTCTTATCTTTAAATTGCCCAAGCACTTATACACATGTTGTGTGCAAATAAAAGGAACTCGGTATCAAGAACAAAGCTCAGTTTGTTACCTGAGTTGGTTTCAGAGATCTTTTGTTTTTTGTTTGTTTGTTTGTTTTTGAGACAAGGTCTCACCTTGTAGTTTACGCTAGTATTGAATTTACAAAGCAGCCCTGGCTGGCCTCAAACTCATGATGTCCTCCTCCCTCAGCCTTCAGGAAGGTGAGATTATAGGCCTGTGCCACCACACCTGGCTTCAGAGACCATTTTAAGTCTAATGTGTTCCACATTTGAATACATAATCAAAAGCTCATGGAGGCTAATGATAGCTAGGATTTACAAGCATCTCTAGTCCTAAGAGTAGAACCAGCAAAGCAACACCACTGAAGAAAGAGATGTGTGCTTTTTCAGAGTGCGACTGGCTGCCTAACTCATTCCTTAGGTGTATTATTCTAAGAAACGCAGCTGCCTCCAGTATCCTAGGTCGTAAGTACTGTGAAAAATGTGTGCTGTCAGCAAAGTGAGTTTCAGCATGATGACAAGACACTCAGCCGATGGATCACTCCTTATTTTCATCCTCCAACACACAGAGCACAGTACCAATGTTCAGTAAACTGCCCAGCCTATCTGTATTTATCAAAGAACCAAGGACAACCTTCAGCATACACTTCAATATTTCCTATTATGCTCTCAATTGACCTAAACTTCTCTTGTCAATCCTTCCTAAAAATGGATTCACTCTACAGAAAGTTCACCTGTGAACACAATGATTATATAAATTTTAACACTTATTCTAAAAACATTTACAAGGAATACAACTATCAATAATCTGTTCCTCTTGCTGCATTTAAGAATTCTAAACTGAAACGTCTCAGTATGTTACCGTTTTATTGAGACATCCAAATCTTTTAGACAGTCCACAATCGTGCTTCTGTGCCTCTGTACTGCATTGTGATCTGTCTGCACAGTCTTCAATAAAGATGTCAGAGCTACATATCTGAATGAAACAAAGTTACAGAACAAGACAGTTAAAATATAAAATTCAGGATACTTTCTCCCTGCCTGAATAATAACAAAGTCTAATGGATAAAGGAAAGCATACATTTTTAAATATTTAAAAGTAAAGACCGTTAGTAAGTATAAAAGAACCTTTTAAAGGATTAGCCAGGAGTGGTAGCACCCGCCTGTTATCTCAGCACTCAGGAGGATGCTGAGGCTTGAACTCAAGAGTTCAAGGCCTGCCTGGGCTATGCAGTGAGTTCAAGGTCAGCAAGAACTACATAGCAAGACCCTGTCTCAAAATGCATGCATGAATGAATGAATACATGCACGCACGCTTAGTGAGAGACAGCATAATCTAAACTCGTGGCAAACAGAAGCAGCTTTAGATTTAGATTTACTTTCATAGTCAAGTCCATTCAACTTCCAAAAGTAACTGACTCAATTCCTACAAAAATCTTCAAAATGGTAAAACAGGTACATATGCCTTTGCAGGCTTCCTTATTCCCTAAATTATTTTACCATTCGTGTATTGTCTGCTTTCAATAGACCAAAATTGCCTCTGTAAAACTTTGAGTTTAAGATCCAAGTGTTTAAAAATCCCTTTTAAAGGAGAAGATAATTCAGGGTGAAACAAATTTACTTCTGCATTTTATCTTAACACAAGAAAATGTTCCTGATTAGAAAAAAAATAACAGAAAATATAACTATATATAAGGAATTAAAAATAACACTGATCAATTTATTTTTTTAAAAACTAGCTGAATTTGGGCCTGGAAGCATTAAGCTATAATCACAGCACTCTGGGAAACTAAGCCAGGAAGACTGTACATTCAAGCCCAACCTAGACAATTTAATAAGAAACTGTCTCTACAAGGGGGTAAAGGGGTTTAGGGGTAGGGAAAAGGGACTGGGGACATAGCTCAGTGCAAAGGCTCTGTACTGCAAAAACAAACAGAGAAAACCTATCTAAAGTTCCTAAAAATGTGTCAGATTTGCTACATAAAATGTATTTTCCTTCTTAATTCAGAGCAGAGATCGACAACAACAACCTACCTACAAAATTCAGTCCTCTGCTATTTTGTTAATCAACTGTTATTTGAATACAACCACACATCATTCACAGCTGATTCCACATTAACAGAATTGGATGTTGCCTCAAAGACCCTGTGGCCCAAAATGACTACAATATTTACCATCTTCTCCTTTTACAAGAAGTCTGATGACTCAGTATATAGCATAAACAAGAGTAAAAATTAAGCCATTAAGTCACTTACTTCTTTAAATTCTTTACAAAATAGTACTCAAGATCAAACTAAAAGTAAAAGTTCTGAGTTAAATTTCTGGATATACTATAGAGGGGTGCAAGGAGGGAAGGAGGGGGGAGGGAGAGAGAGAGAGAGAGAGAGAAGATACTAAGTTTACAATACGCAAGGTACAAGATTTTTTTTTTTTAGTTGACTTACCTAATATTTTTGTCATTGTTCAATAAGAAACGACCCAGGATATTTATGGCTAGAACCTAAAGAGAAACAACATAGGTTAAAAGACTAGGAGAAGGAAACATTTATAGTGTACCCTGACTCTACTGTGTACAAATTATTTAAAGATGGCATCTTTAGACTGTTAGCAAATAAATAAATAAATAAAGGCAAGCTCTTCAAATTGTGTTCTATTTCAACAGTAACTACTAGAAGATTATGTTCTAAGGTTCTCATATCATTAGAAGAATAATATTGGTACATCTCCTATGAAGAGTAATCTGGAAATAATTATAAATATTTAAAAAGAAAATAGAAGGAACATTTATTCTATTTCATGAAATGTTACAAGTTCTTAAACCACAATTAAGCCAAGTGAGATCTCTAAACTTATGGGAAAAAAGTATGTCCTCTACCTCAACAATTCTATGAATTTATCGGACAAACATAATTGTACTTGTATATAAAAGTTTACTATGGTATCATCAGCAAATCCAAAGTGGTAAGAAATATCCTAAAATGTCCATTAATAGCAAATTTGCTAAATATGTACTGACATCTGTATGATAAAATCTTATGCAGCCATTAAACAGAATGAATTCTGACACATGGTACAACATGTAAAACCCTTGAAGACATTTTTTTTTCTTTTTTTTTCTTTTTTTTTTTTTCCAGTACAGGAGGTCAAACACAGGACCTTGTACTTGCAATGCAGGCATGGTGCCACTGAGCTAAATACCCAGCCCTAAAGACATTTTTCTAAATGAAATAAAACAAACATAAAAGGATAAATACTATTTAATTTCACTTATGAGGTACTATGGTTATGAAGTAATTTTGGTCTTTGTCATCATTTCTTAGCATACAACCCCTAATCTCTTGGAATTTCAATACATTAGCATCTTTAGTTGTAATGAGGTGACTTTTAAAGGGCTCCTGAACAGCCTCAGAGTGAGGTTGGGTTTGCCAGGGGAACCAACACTGTGTTTGGAGGGTTAAAGTTTCAGCACCATTCCAAATTTCAGGAAAGACAGGTGCTAAAAGTCATGCATATCACCAATAGCCAATGATTTAATCAATTGTTCCTACATAATAAAGCCTCTATAAAAATCTGAAAAGACGGGATTCCTATAAACTTCAAAATGGCTAAACATGTAGTTTCCTGGAGCATGGCATGCCTGGGAAGGGCACAAAACCTCCTCATCCCTTCATACATGCTTTGCTCTACACTTTTCCCCCTCCTGCTATATCCTTTGTATCACCCTATATAATAAACTGGTAGACTTAAGTAAAATGTTTCCCTGAGTTTTGTGAGCCACTCTAGCAAATTAATCAAACTCAGAGAGGGATATAGGAACCCAGGTTTTTGTTTTTAAGTGGCTGGTCAGCACAGATCACAATCTATACCTGTGATTGGCATCTGAAGTGATGGTCTTGTGAAACTAAGCCACCAACCTATGGGATATGACCTTTTTTCCAGGTAGACAATGGCAGAATTAAATTCAAGACCATCCAGTTGGTATCCACTGGAGAACTATTTGTGTGAGGGAAAACACCCCATATATTTGGTGTTAAATGTAAAGTGCTGAGAGAATATAAGAAAAAAGAGTAGAAGGTAGGAAAAACACTTCAGGGTTTGGCTTTTTACTGTCCCTTTCCAGAAGTACCTAAGAGCAGTCAAATTCATAGGCACAGAAAGCAGAAAAGTAGTAGTAGAGAATAGGGAGTTAATGTTTAATAGAGACAGGTTGGGAAGACAAAAAATGTTCTGGAGAACAAGATGGTAATGGTTACACAACAACAAATATACTAATGCCACCAAACTGTACTTTTAAATTTTATTAAAATAGTACATTGTTATATATTTTTTATTACAATTAAGAAAAAGCAAAAAGGAATGAAATTCATTTCTACATGAATATCGAACAAACTCCAAGAGTAATGATAATGATAGATGAAAAAAGCAAGGTACAGAATTATATGTTGTTATTTGTTTGAAAGGGAGAGGAACCTAACCTAAGTTCTGCTGGTTACATGACTGAAACGATACTGTACTCTAGTTAGTAAATATGTTGTTTGTTTGTATCTTTGTTCGGTTTTGTGGAACCAGGGAATGAACTCAGGACCTTGAACTTACCAGGCAGGCTCTGACACCACTGAGCTAAACCTCCAGCTCTCTAGTAAATATGTTTTAAGGTTTCAGGTTAGCAATTCTCATATTAATAAATGATTGGATTAATGGAAAAAATTCATGGGGAGAAGGGTCCACTTCTTATAGAACTCCAATTATTTAATGAGAGAAAAACATGAAAGAAATAATAAACTATCACTAAAACATCACCTTTGGGCTGGGGATTTAGCTCAGTAGTTCTGCTGCCTGCCTCGCAAGCACAAGGACCTGAGTTCGATCCCCAGTACCCACCCCCGGCAAAAAAAAAACAGAAGACAACTAAAACATCACCTTTGTAATTACTGAAGGAAGAGTGTCTATAGTTGCCAAAACTGAAAAGTCTGTAAATAGGTTACTTAGATTGTCTAAAAGTATTTCTCAAAATATTTTTGAGGCTGGATGTGGTGCACACCTGTATTCCCAGCATTCTCAGAGGTTAAGGCAGGAGGATCACACGTTGAAGTCCAGGCTGTGTAACTTAGTGACTTAGCAAGATACTACCTCAAAATGACAAATTTAAAAAGGGCTGGAGATGTAGCTGAATAAAAGGGTCCTGGATTCAACCCCCAGTACCACCATATATATATTTTTAAATATATATATTTTAATTACAAAAAATAGCAACTATAGTAAAGAGACCTAGCAGACATCACGTTTAGCAAATGATCAAGGCTAACACCACAGTAATGAAACAAAAGATGGTATGCATCTTCTGTATCATCAATGGAGAAGAGCACATGGTTTTTTGAGTACTTTTGTCAGTAACTATTATCTTAACCTATAAAATTATGGGAAAATATCAGATTTCAATTGAGATATAGTCCAGAAAGTACTTTTCAAATCTGTCAATGTCATGAAAGACAAAGACTGAGAAATTGTCAAAGATAAGGAGACTAAGGACACACGAAAATTAAATGCAGTGTGAGAGCATGGGTTGAT